ACGTGAGAATTTTGGGACAATTTGCATGTTTGACCTTGAAACAATTAACGAAGTGGTCCCACGTGTTTCCATTGCATTGCACGTCAGAAAAGTAAAGAAATCGACTCTCGCTTCAAATGGTAATACTACGATTTAGAGCTCATCTTTCTAGATTTTTTTCATTTGATCCCTTAATTTATTTAATCTTCATTTAGTCCATTGAGTCTTCCAATTGTGATTGTAACTTTTCAGCTTTTGACATTTGATCGTTTTTGCTTTTATTATGCCGTTATTTACAACTTCAGCAAATTAACACCTATTTCTGTGAAATTCCACTAAAAATTCCCAATGAAGCATTATTCATACACAAACTAAGATAAATAAGGGCAATAAAATGCCGGAAAATGAAAGCACTACGTTTGGCCCCTTTTTTAAAGTTAATAAACTTTTACAAAATGTTTTAAAGTATAGAGATGACAATGACTCTTTTTAACAAGTCCAAGGATTTGGAAAGGCAATAAACTTGGAGAGAATCCAAACCCAAGGCCACAAAAGTTTCAAACCAAAAAGGAAATGACCAAAATGGAAAAAAACAATTTCCTTCCCTAGTAATTATAGATGTCTTATAGAGAAAAAGATCTTCCTTTCCTAGTAATTTTTTAATGAAAATAATCATTAAAAAAAAAGAGTAAAAAATGAATAGTGATACAAAGATGAAAATTTATGATCAAAATTTAGAACTAATAATGTGGTGTAAAAAAGTGATTATATGGATTGATGTATATAATATTATAGGTCTCAAAAAAGTGAAAATAACTAATTATTATTAAACAATATAAAATTCACATTTTAATATTTTAATGATATAAACTATGGTATATCATTTCTCTTAAATTTTACTCTCAAAATTTTTATCCCATTTATCATGAAAGATTAGTGCATATTAAATCTGACTTTCAAAAATAATTGGTATCCCAATCTACATTTGGAAATATACTAAAATCTCATTCTATTAAATGTTGATATCTAAATTTGAAAACACATTATATATTCTAATAAAATTAGTTTTAAATCTAAATATTAACATTTAATAAGATTGTTTTTTTTTTTAATTTTGAATAAAATTAAATAAAATGACGTAATTTAATGTTGTGATTTCAATTATTTTAAAAGTCATGATTGATATGCACTTTTTTTTCTTTAAATTTTGAATTGAATTTTAATTAAATAAAAAATATAATTTAAAATTAAAACCCCAATTATTTTTTAAAATCAAGACTGATATGTATTTTTCCCTTATTATTATTCTAAAAAATTAAAGGCTAAAATCAAGTCACTTTATGAAAAGTAATTACATGGTGATTCTTCCTACCATACAAGGAAAACAACTCATTTACAGCTTGTTTAAGATCCAAAAGTAGCCAAGACTATTTTTTGTAAATTAGGATTTTAATCACTAATTCACCATTATAAATACACCATACCCCTTGCAGGTATTCATCAAACTCTCTTACTATCTTATAGTCATGTCAACCTCAGCGAATTATGAGGCTTTCTTGTGTTTCGTTCTTTGTATCTCTAGTTGTTTTCTCATTGAAGCTCAAAAAGGTGGTTTTACCATTGATCTGATCCACAGGGACTCACCCAAATCTCCCTTCTACCGCCCGTCAGAAACTTCCTTCCAACACATTACTAATGCAATCCGTAGTTCCTTTGCTCGTGCTAATCGCTTCAGTAAAACTTCCATCTCAACAGACGCAGTCCAGACCGATATCATCTCCAACCAAGGCTCGTATCTCATGAAGGTCTCTATTGGGACCCCACCATTTGAGATTCTAGCAGTGGCAGACACTGGAAGTGACCTCGTATGGACGCAGTGTCAGCCATGCACTAGTTGCTACAGGCAGAAAGCTCCTCTATTCAAACCCAAGTCTTCCTCTAGTTACAGAGACATTTCTTGTTCATCACGCCAATGTCAAGCATTAGATGGAACCGGCTGCTCAACAGAAGACAACACTTGCCAGTACTCAGTCTCCTATGGAGATAATTCCTACTCATTTGGAAATCTTGCTACTGAAACGGTAACTTTGGGTTCCACCACTGGCCGACCAACATCTTTTCCTAAAACTATCTTCGGTTGTGGACACGACAATGACGGAACCTTTAGTGAGGAGGATTCTGGCATCGTTGGCCTTGGAGGTGGAGCTGTTTCCCTAATTTCCCAGCTAAGGGATACAATAGCTGGAAAATTTTCTTACTGCTTAGTTCCGCTTACTTCTGAATCCAAAGGCACCAGCAAGTTGAACTTTGGATCTAATGCAGTGGTTTCAGGCTCTGGGGTCATTACTACTCCTTTGGTTTCAAAAAACCCAGACACCTTCTACTTTCTAACCCTAGAAGCAATCAGTGTAGCTAATGAAAGGATAGATTTTACAGGTTCTTCTTTTGGAACCACAGAAGGTAACATTATCATTGACTCGGGAACAACATTGACACTTCTCCCAGAAAATTTCTACTCCAAGTTGGAGTCGTCTGTGGCAAGTAAGATTGCGGCTAAGCCCATCAGTTCTCCAGTCGGCGGTTTGAGCCTATGCTATGAAGCTACGGATGATTTTAGAGTTCCCCAAATTACAGTGCATTTCACCAATGCTGATATAGAATTGAAGCCTTTGAACACTTTCATTAGGGTATCTGAGCAAGCGGTGTGTTTCACTTTTGCTGATGCTGGTGATGTTGCAATCTATGGAAACTTGTCCCAGCAGGATTTCTTGGTTGGGTATGATACTGAAAAGCGAACTGTGTCCTTCAAGCCATCGGATTGTTCCAAGGCATAATTTAATGTAGGTTTCTAGACAATATCATCTAGTAGCCTATTTTCAAAAAATAAATATTAGTAATTCTAATTCCATATAAATATGCGTTTGCCTTTTTCATTCATATCATTGTATTTTCCTAAATAAGTACTATATCTTTAGACCAATTAAAAATAAAGCAATTTAGTTTGATGCTATATATGGACTGAACAATTCAGCAAAAATGGACTGACGATCCCTAAAGCTTTGCAGAAATTATTCTTTCTATTTTTAATATTAGACATAAAAGGACTCTACCCATAAATGATAAATGCCTCTACTTTCAAACCAATTGAAAAAATAAGCAAATTAAGTTGAACATAATTTAATTAGACACTAATGGGTTACTTATGCCAATCCCAAAAAAAAAGATAAAGTTGCTTCTTTTACCTTTGATTTCATGATCTCATTCTAATATATTTCTGGTTTTGGGCTTCAAATACAAATTATTCACCTTAACTCTCAACACTTTCATACAAATGAATATTGAACATTCTGTTTATTAATTTTCAATATTCATCATATGCTCCACTATCTCATCCTTTTTTAGCACTGGTTCACTTCCTGAAAATCTAAACCAAACCATTGTTACCCTTATTCCTAAAATCCAAAACCCAACTTTAGTCTCACACTTTCGCCCCATTAGTCTTTGTAATACCTTTTACAAACTTTGCTCTAAACTTCTTGTCATTAGACTTGGGCCCTTTCTCGATTAACTCATCAGTCCTCTCCAATCGAGTTTCATCCCTAGGCGCCTTGCTGTTGATAACATCATTATTGCCCAAGAAATTATCTCTGCCATGAATAAAAGAAAGGGCCATATAGGGGATATGGCTATAAAAATCGATCTCAATAAAGCCTTCGACAACCTTGAATGGGATTTCATAAAAAATTGCCCTACACATTTTGATTTTCCACCTTTATGGATCAAAATGATCATGACATGCATATGCACCACTTCCACTGCCATTAGCATTAATGGATCACTCTTCGATGAATTCTATCCATCACGAGGAATCCGCCAAAGTGATCCTATCTCTCCATACATTTTTATCTTGTGCATGGAATACCTATCCCTTCTCATTGAACAAAAATGCAACCTGGGAGAATGGAAACCTCTTAAAGCCTCTAGAAATGGTCCATCCTTTTCACACATTCTCTTTGCGGATGATGTCTTCCTATTTGGTAAGGCAAAAATTTCTGCTACTTTGGCCATTAAGGAAGTCCTTGACAATTTTTGCTCCTGTTCTGGCCTATCCATCAACACCCAAAAATCTAAGATCCTTTTCTCCCCCAAATGTTACTGAAGATTTCAGTAACACCATTTGCTCCTTTTTGGGCCTTCATAAAACCAGCAACCTTGGTAAATACCTTGGGTTCCCCATTGTTTCAAAAAAAATTACAAAATCTAATTTCGATTTTGTGATTGATAAAGCCAAACAAAAGCTAGCAGGATGGAAAGCAAAATTTTTGTCCTCTGCAAATCGTCTTGCATTAATCAATTCTACCATTTGCTCCCTCCCTTTACATGTCATGCAATGTAACCTCTTGCCTAAAAACATCTGCAATTCCCTTGGTAAGTTGATCCAGGATTTCCTTTGGTTAGATGAGCCTTCCAAACACAAACTCCATCTCATTAATTGGGACACTGTTTGTTTACCTAAAGGACATGGTGGCCTTGGTATTCGAAGGTGTTCCAAACTTAATGAAGCTTCCATCATGAAACTCATTTGGCGTTTCCTAACCCTCCCAAGTTGCCCTTGGATGGATTTACTCCGAAAGAAATACAGTTTTCAAAGGTATTTCCATCAACCTTCTCAAATATGGAGAGCTATGGCCCAACTTCACTCCTCCTTCCTTGCTGGAACCACTTGGATTATTAACAAAGGCAACCAAGTCAATTTCCTTCAAGACAATTGGCTTCCTATTGGTCCAATCAACAAAACTGTTTATGGTCCCTTTCATTTTGATCACTCCTCCTTCACGGTTGCTGACGCCTTGAATTTTCTTTCCTCTTTTGGTGAACTTCATTGTTCTCTCCCATCCTCAATTGAATCCACTATTCTCTCTCATCTAGAACTTGTTATCCTTGTGAAGATGACTACATTTCCTAGAAGCTCTCTCTTAATGGCTCTTTTACACTCTCCTCTACTTATTTTTTAGTTTGTAATCTCTCATCTCCTTCAAATGATTTCACCTGGAATTGGATCTGGAAGTGCCCCATTATCCCCAAAATTACTTTCTTCCTTTGGCTACTTGCCCATGAAAGAATCCCTTCCAGACTTCTTTTGACTTCTCAGGGCATCCAGGTTCCTTTAAACTGCCCCCGTTGTAATTCTGCCCCAGAATCTCCTCTCCATCTCATCCGTGATTGCCCCATAGTTCACAGTCTTTGGGTGCCCACTTCTATACCGCTTACTCTCCAACATAGCTTCCACCTTGGACTTTTAGAATGGCTCAAAATCAACTCTAGCTCTAAATTTTGGCTTGATCATCCAAAAATTCCCTGGGCAGCATTCTTCTCTTCTATGATCTTGAATATTTGGCTTGATAGGAATCACCTCTGTTTTGAAAACTCCTCCAACTTGTAAGCAGTCAAACAAAAAGCATTGGGACTGGCTGTTGAATTTTGTTCTGCAAAATCCCATATCAGTAAACCAGTTTCATGTTCCTTTCACCCTATCACATGGATCCTGCCACAGCCCGATTGGTTTAAACTAAATTCTGATGGCTCATCTAACCACACCTGCACCAAAGCTGGTGCTGGAGGCGTGATCAGGGATCCAAAAGGCAATTGGATTGCTGGTTTTGCCAAAAATCTTGGCTTTGGCAATTTGGTCAGGTGAGACTTCTCGATGCTAGGAACAATCAAAATTATTGACTATCTACTTTGAAGGCATAATTTGTGCTCTTACAGCAATTACTTTTGTACCTTATAATTCTAGGAGGCTTCATCCATACACAAATGGTATTTGCTTATTACTGTATGCTGTAGATATTGCTTAAGACCCTTTGTTTGTTTATCTAACAGTTATCGCATGCTCTATAATCTATATTTTCCTTTTCCAGTATAGCACCTATCATAGGTTTACTTCATGTATCATATTCTTTTCATTAATGAATTTATGATTTTACCAATCATTTGTTAGTCCGAATAAAAGGAACTCGATTCCTTTTAAGTAAGATCTCGAGTTCAAATCTTATTAATGGAGAAATAGGCACTGGAGAGCTTTCCCCCTAATGGGGTCCAATCCGGCTTGATTTCGAATTAATCAAAACTCAATGTGATTACTAGATATCGAAAGGTTAATTAAAAAAAAAAAATGAATCTGTGATTTTTTAATAAAAAAATATTCCATTTTTGAAAACATTTTTACCATAATTGTTTTATAGAAGTTTTTTTAACTTTATAATTGCTTAAGTGCTTGTTTGATATAACAGTTAAAACTCAAAGAATAGCAGATAATGGTAGTAGATAATGGATAGCAATAATGGGTAGTAAATAACAGATA